TGCAAATTGTCTACAAAGACAATCTAACTTCTCAGCAGAAAGTACAAAAATTATTCTAGTTACCGATGTCACAGTCGGAGACTGGGTGATATTTCTGTGAAAAAAATAGAAAGAGTTTGTTGAAATGTTGAGATGAATGAGTTCATTTCAGTGTCATGCGATTAGCATTACATTTTGCAAAAGAATGACTGGAGTCAACTTACTCTGGCTGTTTTTTGCAGAGTTGCCTCAGAAAGGTCAAAGCACTAATTATAAAGATCAGGAAACACACGCAAGGTACAATAATTGTAGCAATATGGATTTCCAATGTATCCACAGCTTCCTCTGTAAAATAGTAAAGGAACTCATTTGACTGCAGTTTTAATACTCAGTTAATTTCACTTAAATGTAAAAGCAAAAGACTTCTGGCTCTTATAAAATGTGACTTATTGTAATTGTGCGTCATGTCAAAGTTTGAAGCTTGGGAGCTTTGCATTTAAGAAGTACTCATGTACCCACAGTGTCTCTGCTCTGTATACAAACAGGAAAGCAAAGCCACTGTAACCAAAGGTGTTCAGGTGTACATATAGAGGTAGACGAGTATATTAAGGGAAACTCAACTCTCCCCAGCCTGCTCTGAAAGCTTAACTTTTGATAATCACATGGAATATGTTTTAGATAGACTTATCTTTGATACCAAAGAAACAAAGAGAAAGAGAGAGAGAGAGAGGACGTGAGAGATAAGCTCTATGTATGGAAAGTCCCATTGTTTCCAGCCTGTTCCTGTTTATGGGGCCTACCCATCCCCACATTCAGTTATGATAAATGTGTGACAGTAATATTTTGTTTGGTTTTTGTAATCTGAAAACTTCAAAAGTTGATAAACTAACCTGTAATGACGAGCTCCCATTTCTGTTCAAAGACTCCAAAGTCTGTGGTAGTTTCACAAGTGTAGTTTCCTGTGTGACTTTTCTGGGCTCTCTCTATGATTAGTGCATACAATTGGCTTTCCGATGTGGACATATTTAGATTCAGGGGGGCAGCTGCAGGAAACGTCCTAATTCTGCTGTCTGAGGTTTTCTGATTACTGCTTAAGGTGACAGAGCTGCTGTTTGAGGTTTTCCATGGCCTGAAACTAAAAAGACAAGTCCCATTCCTTCTCCATGTTAGTTGAACGAGGTCACTGATTGACTTATTGCTACAGTGCAGGGTCACTGTGCTCCCAACCATCCAGGAAGTGCTGATACCTTCTGAAGGGGATAAAAAAAATAAACACTGTGGAAATAAAGACTGCATCCACAAAATTTTGTCCTGGAGTTAAGCTGCACTGACTGAACTAAACAAGCAAGTTTGCTAACAATAAGCCACAACATCCTCCAAAATGTCTTTTTTT